TTATTACCATATCTCAATTAAATGAGCAGGAAATCAAACAGCAACTTACATTTTTGGTTCTCTTGATGGTGACCCTGCTAATACCCGTAACAGGCTTCATGCCCAGCTTCAACATTGCCTTTCGACTCTTCTTCTCACTTCTGCTCTGTTTTGAAGACTCATTTCCACCTGTTACTAATTCTCTAATCAAGATCACTTGAAGACAAAGATAGATAATATGCATTTCATTGTAATTGAGTAGCAAAAATGCTCTAGCCCACAATGAAACCTCAGCATGAATGAATGAAAAAGTTTGAATTTTTATAGTTCAGAACAATGCCTCAGGTCGAAAAAAATTTCAATTTTTCAAATCAAAATCACCCAAGCTAATTTTTATGCTTTCATAGTTTCTGTTAATTCTTTTATTTTCTCCCTCTAACATGCTCCAAACCCAAAACACTCCAAGCATTACAGAAAATCCTGGAACAGTATACAATAAATCACAGAAATGACAAATGCGCCCTAAAATGGAGCAATTGACACCATAACAATGAAATCTCTTCTCTTTCCGGAAGGAAAAGAGGGAAACCGATAAAGAAGATAAGAAGAAAAGGACGACCTTGAGCGCCATCTTCCTTGTCATCATCATCGTCGTCGTCGTCGTCATCCTCGTCGTCTTCATCCCTGTCGTTGTCGTCCTTCACGTCCTCAACCACGACTTCGTCTTCTTCCTTGTTCTGTCAACAGTCGCAGTATTGGGATTACTTAAAAATATAAATAAATAACAAAAATGGATAATGTAAATGAGAATATTTAATTCCAAAAAGATAAAAGCGAAGAGCTTTACCTGATGAGAGTTCTTGAGGGGTTGGTCGGTGGACAGGACCTCGTCGGCCGCCTCCGGGTGAACCAGTGGAGCCGGTGACATCTTCGGCTTCGTCGTCTAAACTCTACAAAACTCTAAAACGGATAAATATGGAGAGTCTTAGCCGTTTGGCTCGCACGCAGCAGTAGATACGATAGGGATGGGGATGGCTTTTCTGTTATATCATTGATGATTTGCAAGGGTTTCTCCTAGGATTTACCATTTTTACATGGGCCTCCAAGTTTTGGGCTTTATATATCTTTCATTTATTGCTTCGGCCCATTCATTAAATTAAATCACGTAATTTGCAGTCGAGTCATTCTATAGTGAGATAAGGTCCTCTCTCTTAACCATTAGATCAAATCAAACTAACCAATTTAATCCAAAGATGAATCAATTTGATTCAACGGAGATATCTGGAATATTTATTTCTATGTTATTGAACAAGCATAAACATTTGGTATAATTTATTTATTGATTTTTCTATATATTCCATTACAGTTTATACTGCTGGATAAATTCTTAATAGATTCTTATCTGAATAAAAGAACAGTTCTGAATAGAAAATCCCATTAACATAAATTCATTAAAAACAAGGAATTATTGTAATGTTTGATCTAACCTATAATGAATAACAAGCATTCCTTAAAGCATTATTTTTATTTTATGTGTAATTTTTCAACCTGTACGCATCATCTTTTTCAACAAAACTAGTGACCAAACACCAGTTACAATCATGTAACCCCAAAATGTGACAGTTTAAACATAGCCACAAGGCAGTGATAGAGTTTTTTTTTTTTTTTTTTTTCCTTTTACTGTGTAGATATAATTGCTCATAATAGATATTCCATTTCATGATTCATGAGGCATATGCAATTCTGATTAACTCTACTAAAAACCACTTGCAGCTGCAACTGCTAAGAATAAATCAAATCAAAAGCACAGAATGCTTCTTCTGCATCATTTCATAAGATGTAAACTACATATTTTCAAGCCAGACATAACACAGAGCCAAGTACAGTACCCCCTATGAACAACAAAATTACTTGAACTTGACCACCTAATAGCAAAACAGTTCACTTTTCTTGGTATTTCTGGTATACCATTAACTGCAATCTGGCTTAAAACAAGAGTGTGGGAGTTTGTTCATTTCTTAGCAGCTGCTTGCTGCTTCCTTAAACATCTTCTGGACTTCCAATCGCCAATGTGCTCAGAAGCATGGCAATGTGCTAATTTCCATAGCCCACATGGAGCTGCTGAATCACATACATAGCAGTAGCACTGCAAACAAATGGTGAATTCAGTTTATATGTCATGTTAAACAAAATAAATGGGATGCACTCATAATTGCAAATATTTGAACTTGTAAACTCTATTACCAGCTCACAGTAGCTTTCGTGAGGCGTTGTTTCAAAAGGGAATTTCAGACAGAGATGCCTTGAATGTGGATAATCTCTACAAGCAACCTGCACATCATCAATTTAAATCAAGACAAGGCTTGATAAATTCACAAAACTAGCTATTCAAACCCTCCTCTGAGTCTGAGGTATAAATTAGATGTAAATGCAACCTATTGGCCTGCATTCAATGTTTGGCTTTCAACAGAACTTGGAATTACAAATGAACAAGAAACATGTTTGAACCTAAAGTTTTATGCTTTCGATTTCTCTGCTTCAGTCAATATAAACAGATAAGTGTTAAAGTTCATTTATTTTTTCCTTTTTCAAGATTAAAAAAAGAAAGAAAAAGTTATCGTCTTTTTCAAAGACCTAGAAGGCTTACAGGCAAAATGGGGTTACGATTTCCACAGCAACCAAACAGAGCAACAGAGAAAGAAAATTGATTGAAAAGAAAAAAGCAGAGAGAGACATCAAATGGGTTATGGGGAAAACAAAAAACCTGGCCTTTCTCAGCAACAACGGCGACGTCAGGAGACTCCGGAGCATTATGACCAGCAAAATTATCGGAGACGGATAGCTTGGATAACTGAATGGGCTCAAATGGGTCGAAATCTAAGATGAAACAGTCATCGACTTCCTCGAACTGCTTGACATCGACCTTGTTTTTGACACAGAGAATGTGTCTGATGGGGCTCCCATCTTCCTCCAAGGAAGAAGACGAAGTTCTCGGAGTGACTCTCTTTTTCTTCTTCTGGCCTGAGGGGCTCGATAACTTTACCGCTTTCATGTTGTTTTCACTTTCCCCCATTCTCTCTGTCGCTCTCGCTCTCTTTTGGTTACCCAGGATTTGAATCTTTTCGAATTTCCTCGAATGCTGCCCTATTCGCTGAACAATGGCGCTTAGACTCGCACGATCCCACATCATTAAACGACATGCTCCTTTTTCGAAACGGAAACGAGGACCGGCATCAATTGAGACACTGAGATTCGATACGGCAAAGTGGCCCAGAAGGCCCATGGGCTACTGCCATACAACGCTTAAATCCAATTTGGGCCGACAGGCCCATAAAAAAAGATATGTGTAGTGTCCTTGGTCCCAATGATCCAATCATTAGAATAATAATACATCCCTCCATTTTGTTTGTGCAAACTAATCATAATGTAACAAATATTTCAATAAAAAACTTTGAAGTAATGTTTTGTGATGGCTAATTAATGCTTTGTTAGTTTGTTGGTTGGATGGGTTAGAAATAAAGCTTGGAATGAAGAATGCAGGGTTGGTGAAGAAGTTGATAAAAGAGGTGGCCTTTTGGACCTTTTAATTCTGAATTTTCTCGATCCTTTTTTCTGTCTCTCTCTCTCTCTCTGGGAAAACACTTTCTTCCAGAAGAATAGTGGGGCCAATATGTGGAATTGCACTCCTGGTCACCAATAGCTGCATCCATTGTCTACACATTCAAGGAGTTGGTGAGATGCTATCCCATTTGATTTCTCATCCCCACAACAATCAAACAAAACGACACAGGTTTGTTTACATAATTAATTTACAGTAGGTTAAATTAATCTAATTTATAAAAAGGGAAATTCAAATTTGAGTGTAAGCGAGTGAATTTATTGTCCTGACTAACTAGTCAACTATTGTTATGGCAATATAAAGTGTATATTTAATGGTGTTAGGATGTCTCTGTAAATGTTTAACTTGGTAAGCGAAGACTATTCTTGTTGATTTGGAATTTTGAACTTACATTGAAGAAGAGCCGAGGGTTCAAACCATGGACTGTCTTACTCATGGGGGAACATTTAATAACTAATACTTACTACTTGTGCCGTTTTTGTTTTTGTTTTTGTTTTTGTTTTTGTTTTTCATGAGCTCACTTTCAGGTCTTGAAGAAGCACTTTAGAGGCAATCACCAAGAAACTCTGCCATCTTCTTTTTGGTAGCAAACTAAGAGGTACTCTCGTTTTTACTCAACTGATATGATGAAGAAGCTAAGGCATAATTTTGTTGCCTGAGATTGAAGTAACACCATATTATATTAATTAGGTCCAATAGGATGCCATGTGGATGGGTTCCACTTCCGCTCACCTACTGATTTGATATCTGAGCTCAACTTTGGTAAAATATAACATTACAAGATACCGAGACACCAACTACCCTATTAGATTATGACACTTGTTATTTTACTTGTTATTGGTTAAGGGGCAGGCGGGTTCATTGAGAATGATATATACATATAAACCCATGACAAGGACATCTTAAGTTTATGCGCTTGGGTCTCATCAAACTCAAACATGCCACCTTCTTGGGCCATGACTGGCATGACGAGAATATGATGCTTGATTACGGATGATAACATGTATATTTCTCTTAAGCATAGTACTAGTGTCCACTTGACAATTTTCCCTAATTAGGCATATTGTTTAGACTTTAAATCCTTTAATAAGATATCGCACAACTTTCACAATTTGTGTTACATTTATTCAATCGGAATTGTTTTTTAAAGATTGAATTAAGGGATTCACTCTTTAATATTAGAGTTTAGATCTATTAAATCATGATTACATTTGTTTGCATGAGATACAAATTTCTAAACTCTAATTAAGCTCAGGAGGAAATTAAATAATTAATCAATGGTGAAGTTTTTTTTTGGGTCAAGATGTGGAGGATATATGTGGGGTCATGTACTGGTGGTGGACACAGGTAGCACATCAACGTGGTGGGTGAGCAAAGATATATATAACGCTGCACACCATGTCTTCAAGCCCTGTCTTCTTCTCTGTTTTACCTTCCTCAACTTCTCTAACTCTTCTCTCTCTATCTCTATAGGACTCTCTGTCTATACCCACCAAACCAATACCAATACCAATACCAAAATGGGTTCAACTGTTGAGACTCAGATGACCCCAACCCAAGTATCAGATGAAGAAGCCAACCTGTTTGCCATGCAGTTAGCCAGCGCCTCTGTTCTGCCCATGGTGCTTAAGGCAGCCATAGAGCTTGACCTCTTGGAGATCATGGCTAAAGCTGGACCTGGTGTTTTCCTTTCCCCCGCAGACATAGCTTCTCAGCTCCCAACCAAGAACCCAGATGCACCTGTCATGCTTGACCGCATGTTGCGCCTCCTGGCCAGCTACTCTATTCTCACCTACTCTCTGCGCACCCTGGCTGATGGTAAAGTTGAGAGGCTCTATGGTCTTGGCCCTGTCTGCAAGTTCTTGACCAAGAATGAAGATGGTGTCTCTATTGCCCCTCTCTGTCTCATGAATCAGGACAAGGTCCTTGTTGAGAGCTGGTAATTAACCTTTTTTTCTTCTTCCTCATCTCAATTTAACAATCAGTTATTAATGTATTGTTAATAGATTGATCAAATTTTCAATGTTACTAACTGTGAGCTGTGACTTGATTGTTTTCCTAGTTTGTTCATCTAGGCCCTCCTTAGCCTTATTCGTTTAATCATTATGCTGGCTGGGGGATAAGCCAAATTATTTTATGGAGACTTGATTAGCCGAGAAAAAAAGAAAGAAAGAAAAAGGCAGAAGATGTTGTTGAGGCTCTGCCAAATTTTGTTGACTATCGTGGGTCATTTTAGTATAAAGAGACGATACTTGTTTCATTAGTGGTCTTTTGAGGATCACCATTCAACCACTTGGGAGTTGGGAAGTGGGGACCACCACTTCACCTACCACAACATAGTTCATTAAACGACAAGCCGTTTTCTCCATCTTTATAAATTATATGATCTATGCTTTTGGCTATGTTTCTCAGTTTCAGTCTATGAATATTGTTGAGTGACACAAAATGAGTTGGATGTAGGTTACATATTACTATTTTTCCATTTTGGACTTGTGTAGGTATCACTTGAAAGACGCAGTTCTTGAAGGTGGCATTCCATTCAACAAGGCCTATGGAATGACTGCTTTTGAATATCATGGCACTGACCCCAGATTCAACAAGGTCTTCAACAGGGGAATGGCTGACCACTCTACCATCACCATGAAGAAAATCCTTGAGACATACAAAGGGTTTGAGGGCCTCACATCAGTCGTGGATGTCGGTGGCGGGACGGGGGCTGTCCTTAACATGATCGTCTCCAAGTACCCCTCGATCAAGGGCATCAACTTCGACTTGCCTCATGTCATTGAAGATGCTCCTCAATATCCTGGTATGAATGTGCATCATATTACCTTTTGCTTAGTACATTTAGCCACTTCACAACATATAAGTCCTTTTTGACCTCTGTGGATCTTTTGGATATAGGTGTGGAGCATGTTGGGGGAGACATGTTTGTAAGTGTTCCAAAAGGAGATGCAATTTTCATGAAGGTGAGCTAGAAATTATCTGAAACCTGCACTGTATCTTATCAGTTATTTCATTCATGAGATTAGGTTATATATGGACATCTTGATTAACTTACTTAGCCCATTAATGATGCTAAGGTGATGTTCATTATATTGGGAACTAATATCTAATTGGGTGTGCAATGTTACAGTGGATATGTCATGATTGGAGTGATGAGCATTGCTTGAAATTTTTGAAGAACTGCTATGCTGCACTTCCAGACAACGGGAAGGTGATTCTTGGTGAGTGCATTCTTCCAGTAGCCCCAGACAGTAGCCTTGCAACTAAGGGAGTTGTTCATATCGATGTGATCATGTTGGCTCACAACCCTGGGGGAAAAGAGAGGACAGAGCAGGAGTTTCAGGCCTTGGCCAAGGGAGCTGGATTCCAAGGCTTTAACGTCGCGTGCTCTGCCTTCAACACCTATGTCATAGAATTCCTTAAGAAGAATTGAGTGCTTAACGGGCTTGGTATGCTGTCATCTGCATACATATTGCTTTGGTTTTTGACATGGTGATCAGATCAGATCCCATGCGGAGTTTACATTACACCATATGTAGATTTTAATTGCACAAAAAGTAATAAGAAGTGTTTCCATGTTGCTTGCTTGTACCTAGTGAGCTTTTGATATTTGGATCCATATATACGACTTTCTTGCATCCAGAAATAAAAAATGGGTGGGGAAAACAAAGAAAATGGCAACGAACAAGGGGTAATTCATGCGAAGAAATAACAAGACATCCATATGATATTATTCAGAACCTTACAGAGCATCTCTCAACCCTCTGTATAACATGAAATAAGTTTACAAAAAGGCCTTGCTGCATACAATAACAATTATTCGGCCAACCTGTTGAATTATTCCAGATGCTACAACAATGGAGGCAAGTAGTTCAGAGTAATGGAATAACCAATAAAATAAACCAGCAGAGTGGAAATTATTCAACATATGCATAAGTCAAGACATTTTAAACCTTTCAGAACAACTGCGATGCGCCAACCTGTGGCTCCCAATAGCATGCTGCAATCCCTCCACCCCACCAAGTTATAGAAGCAGCCCTACATTCCATGACGAGAAATATATAATCAGATTGGCAACAACTAGCAAGACACAAATTGAGGCTACTGATCGGTCTTGAAAAGCTCCAAACAATGCTCTTGAGTCAAGTCCCTAGTCCAAAACTTCTTATAATACTCTGTGTACGTGTAGCCCCTATAAATGGCTGCAGACCCATCATCTGTAAGAGCCTTTGCTGGGCTGATCAGTGCGTCATCTTGTGGGCAGAGGAATGAAGCCACTGATAGCCTTGCTCTGTCAGTATTTGTAATGGCACGGTGCCACACACTCTTATAAATCCCATTACTCAAGGCCTGCAGCAATTCACAAGAATTTTGTTATTCGAAGGTGATTCGATAACATAATACTTCGAGTGCAGGATGACATAATACTTCGAGTGCAGGAGTAACTGCTTTTGATCACTTGAGTGACAATTGGGTTAATTCCTTAGATTGATTGTTGAGTAGAAACAATGAAGGGGGTACCTGTAATTGGTCGCCAAGGTTAATGACAAAAGCGTTAGGGTGGGGATTAACAGCAACCCATTTGCCATCTTTGAGAACTTGAAGGCCAGCAACCCCAAGGTCTTGGAGAAGAATTGTTAGGGCATTTGGGTCAGTGTGTCCTGGCAGCCCATAAGTCAGCTCGGGCTGTGGGCATGGCGGGTAAAAGTTCACGGCCATATGCTGTCCTTGCACACCCAACGTACTCTTTATGTAATCCTTCTCCAGCCCTAAACTCTCTGATATTAACTCCTGTAATCTGAACCCCAGTTCTCGAACTTCTTCACTGTACTTACTCACAATGTCCCTGCAACCCAAAATAAATTCACGTAAGAAATTTGATATATTCACCCCAACAAAAATTTATTAATAAAAAGCAAACCCGGGTAACACACCCCAATATTTCAAAAAGTTGGCCCAGCTAACCGAGCACAGTTATTGGAAAAGCTGACCCGCTAACCTAGCCCAATTATTCAAAGCGCTGTCGGCCTGATTGGGTTTTGGATTTACCAAAAAAAAGTTTTCATTTTGGACCGGCCCGTCCCACATTAAACATAGCTACTAAAAGAATATCAAAAACATGGGTTTCCTTTTAAGGCCCGTACTGAAAGCCGGGAGATGCTACAATAAGGGGGAGTTTTGGTGAGGGGGTTGAATGAGGGGTTCAATCGAACCATCCAATCATTAAAAAAGTTTAAGTACAATATTTTTCTCTTTCTTATTGGATAGTGGGATTGAACCCCTCCCACAATCCCTTCATTATAGTATTTTGGTTGAAATCCAGGACTTTCGCTAAAGTCCACGAGTGTTGCAAAACTCTATTTTGTTTTTGGTAATGAATTAGTATTTTATATTATTCTAACAGTTCTGATCTCTTGGATTACAAGGGTTCAAGAAATTTGTGGTCATTTACCGTTATATGTAAATTCAACGGTTCATTCATTCTTACACTCTTTTTAAGAAACATTTTTGAACCGTTAGATCAGCTCCGATCTCTTGGACCACAAGGGTCCAAGAGATTGTAGTCACATCCAACGGTTCAAAATTTTCTTCGAATGAGTGCAAGAATACGTAAACCGTTAAATTTACATCCAACGGTGAGTGACCACAAATCTCTTGGACCCTTGTGGTCCAAGAGATCGGAGCTGATTATTCTAAAATATAAGATTACTTTTCTTAAATTCTAACATTTATGACACCGTGATAGTGTGTGTGTGAGAGAAACCTCTCTCTTCTATAATTTATGACTATTGCTTGTACTAAATAAAGTGTGTAAGAAGACGGGTACGCTACCCATGTCTACACAAAAAAATCTATTTCATAAATAACAAAGTAGCAGGTTATCGTATCTCACCCGTATTTACATGGACCACGCTATTAATTTCAATTAATAAAGTGGCCTCATATGTGGTCTCCCAACTATTTTAATAGCTTTAACACACAATTAAAATAGAAGAGAGAGCTTTAACACACAATTAAAATAGAAGAGAGACTAATAACCCCAAAAAAGAAAACAAAGTTAGTCCACTTAGTCCTGATCAAACGTGCGGGACTGAACCAATGAAATATCCCAGACCAAAAAAAAAAACCAATGAAATATCCGTCACAAGAAGTGGTGTGATTGTTCACGTAACCACCATCCCTCTCGAGACTTACATATCAGGGAATAGCAAAGTTTTTCTCCCTGTGCCGTAGCACGTGCTGACATTTATTTCCAAAAGGGTGCCTGACCTCTTTCGTACTCTTCCATGCAGGTTTGTTGCTACCGCCACGCTGGCCACCCGATTAAATTAAATTCACAAATAAATTAATAAAATTGATATCGTGGATTATGGACCACTATGATTACACGCAACCTATGAATTCATCCACCACATGATTCATTCATTCCGCTTACGTCAACACGGACTAATCCGACTACGTCATAAACTATTTAAAATCACAAACCGAACAGGAAGCTATCAACGGCTGACACATCGCCTCTTCCAACCGAAAATGCCGTTATCACCGTCAATTAGGGTAAGGGAAAAGATAACCCGTGGGCCCGGCAAAGATCAAAATTTAAATATCATGGACAGCTAGGCCGCATCAATTTGTCTATGGCGGGACATCCCAGTACAATCCCCACCGTCAATCTAAGAGTGATGGACGGTGACGATGAACACAAGAGAATACAGCCAAGTCTGCCTAGATGTTGACAAAGTCAACCTGGACCCTATTTATTTTCCTAATATTCAGAAAGTACTACAGACCGCGCACCACTATACCATTACAATGATTTCAATTATTTCTTAATAAACTAGTAGAAGATGGGTTGCTACTTTTAATACAAGGGTTATTCTAAATAAATAAAAACAACACAAGGACTATACTTTTGCAGTCCTTTAAAATATTTGTATTATTAGGTCTTTTTTCCACACACAAAAAACAAAACAAAAGAGATGCTGCGTATCTATTCGTAAATCTTTCTTTTAGGAACGCCATGTGTGCATGCCAAAGTCAATCATGTAGTCATACCAAATGCATCTTTCTCTGGTTTTAGAAATCAAAAGAGCTAAAGTATGAGATCCAATCAAAACCCAATTACCATTTCTCACATTTCTCATATGCCTTATTTATGCATAAAGCCAACTCTTGCTCAACATTCTTCCGAGAACCCTAGCTATCACCCACCTAAACCCTACAAATTACAACTTACATCACACTAAATCTATCGTATCATTCAATAATACTTGAGTTTTAAATGATGCATACGAGATCATAGAATATCTAAGATTTCAGAATGTCTCCAGTAAATTTTGAATATACAAAGAGTAGGTCAATACTTTACCATTATAAAACTTCCTCGTAGTAGTTATAACCCATGAAGTCATCTTCTACAGAGTTTAGTAATCAGATAAGCATGTCATGTGTCATGAAAAAGTATGACGTAAATTTGTTTGCATTTTTTATTTCTCTCAACAAGAAACTCATTTTATTGTAAAACCCATATAATATAAAGCAACGTGGCAGACAGTCAGCACCGCCCTTGCCGAAAGAAAAATACAGCCATTGGTGTGTGAAGCTTATCTCAGAGAGAAGGAGACAAAGTAATAAGAACGTACTTGAAGGAAGAAGGATTGGAGGGCCACTCTGGAACGTACTTCTCCAGAGGATAGCAATGGAGTCTGAGATAGTCTCTCCAGTTATGAACCTTCTCCTTGTTCACATTAAAACTTGTAGAAAGCCTCATCGTCTTTGATGGATCATCTGAATACAACTTCATCTTTTCCTCCACAGGAAGGCTAAAGAACTCAGTGGCCGTCCCTAACATCTTTTCCACTGCTTCCGTAGACACACCATGATTGATAACCTATGGTACCAAAATCAACGGACATAAACAGATCGCAACATATATATATGAATTATATACGTGACAAACAAGTTCTTGATATGATATAGAGAGTGAGTCAGGTAGATACCTGAAAAAAGCCAAAAGACTTGCAAGCATCACAAACTTGCTGCACAGTTTCTGCTCTATTCTCCGAGGCTAAATTAATTACAGGAATGTTTTCGCATTCGAAGACTTCAGACAAGCGAGGTCGCTCGGATTCTGGTCTGACATAACCTTCCGGCAAGTTTTCGTATTTGAATCCGGAGGAGAGGACTTTGGTTTCCATGTTTCTTATAATTTTTGGGGGAGGGGGATGACAAAGACAGCAATTAAAAATGCGCGGTCTCTCTCTCTCACCGTCGTTCTCTTGGTCTGCCTGCTAAGCTTAATTGGAGTAAGTAAAGTTCCAGGAAGTTGCACTTCTCAGTGACATTGCACATGGTATTTATATAGAGGCGCTGAGTGGCCTGTCAAATATTGACCATTGACTTGTAGGCTCGGGCCTTGCAGCCACTCAATGGGGTTGTATAACTAGTGCAGATAACTAGGGCTCGATTGTGAGTGCTTTTGGAGCAGTTAAAAGCGCTTCTAAATAGGTGAAAACACTTATGTCTTTTAAAAATGGTGTTTGACAAAAATTACAAAAGCAATTTGGGTGATATCTAAAAGCACTTGGAGT